TTTTTTTTTTTTTTTTTTTTTTTTTTTAAGAATCTCCCTTTATCATCCTTGTTAGAATGCCATGGGGCCATAGCTCACAGCAACCTCATACTCTTGGGCTTAAGTGATCCTCTTGCTTCAGCTTCCCAAGTAACTGGGACTACAAGTGCCACCACTATGTCCAACTATTTTAGAGAGGTGTGTCGCTCTTGCTCAGGTGGGTCTCAAGCATTCTACCTCCCAGAGTGCTAGGATTACAAGTGTGAGCCACTGCTGGCTGCCACAGTCTTTATAATGGAAATTCATAGGGTCTCAAGAGTGTTTTTTGAATTTTTTATGATTGCAATTGTTATAGCTCAGGATTTTAATCTATAATAGCTAAATAATTTTTATTGAGTTATTACTGTGTATTACGCTTTAAGTATGTTATCTTGGTTAATCTTCATACCAGTCTGGATTTTTTTCTTTTTTTTTTTTTTTTGAGATAGGGTCTCTTTCTTCACTCAGGCTGGGGTGTAGACGCATGATCTTAGCTCATTGCAGTCTCGAACTGCTGGGCACACGCCACCACACCCAGCTAATTTTTTGGTGAGACAGGTTTCACTGTGTTGCCCAAGCAGGTCTTGAACCTCTGGCCTCAAGCAGTCTTCCCGCCTCAGGTTCCCAAAGTGCTGGGATTAGCCGTGTGAGCCACCATGTCTGGCTCCTCATACCAGTTTTTATCAGGGGGTTATTTCCATCTTATAGATGATGGAGAGAGTCTCTGAGAAGCTAAGTGACTTGTTCAAGACAAAATAGCCAGTAAATGACAGGGCTGGGACCTGAGATGTCTGGGTAGTATGGTGCCTTCTTGTATGTCACACAAGTCTTTTACCTCTATAGGACAGGGCCATCTCTTTAGTTGCTCTCCAAGAAGGAAGGAAGCCAATCCAGACTGAGTCCATGTTGTACTTGTGATCCATTAAATCTTGCCTTTTGCCCAAGGACTATTGTTAGGACAGAATCTCATATTGAGTGCTAGGCTTTACTCTTACTCTCTTTCTTCTTGCTATCTGAAACTGTGAGATGCCTTTACACCTTGGTCGAGCGATCCCACAGAGGAATCAGGCAGACCTGGGCTCTTCCCTTTATTTATATATTCATTGGTTGACAAACTACTTCCTCTGCCTTTTACTATGAGCCAGGCAGTATCCCTGACCTGAGCTGATGTGGGAACCTGGAGAAGGCTTTTGTGAGGAAAACCAGAAAGAAGCACTCTGGAGAAGGCCCTGGGTGGGGATAGCTGAGTGCTGACTGTTAGAATGAGGCAGAATGCTCTGCTCTATTACTTATCTTTGCAACCAGGTATAATACAACCAGTTCATACATTACCCCTTGGGGCCTCAGTTTCCTTGTCTATAAATTAGAAATAGTAGTCCTTACTTCACATTGTATTATATTTTAAAATATTGAACTTCTAAAGCATATGAAAAAGTTTATATATACTTTTTTTTTTTTTTTTTACGACAGAGTCTTACTCTGGTGCCCTAACTAGAATGCCGTGGCATTATAGCTTACAGCAACCTCAAGTTCTTGAGTTCTTGAGTTCAGGTGATCCCCTTGTCTCAGTTTTTCTGTTTTTAGTAGAGATGGAGTCTCACTGTTGCTCAGGCTGGTCTCAAACTTTTGAACCAAACAATCCACCTGTCTCACCCTGCCAGAGTGCTAGGATTATAGGTGTGAGCCACTGCACCCAGCCTGGAAAGGTTTATATTTTCAAACCAGTTCTCTTTCCTGCCGCTCCTCATCATTCAATGGTAACTTTTAACTCTTCCAGTTTTCTTCTGGTCATATTTCCAAATATTTTCTTTTATTAACATTGTTATGCTAATTGAAAAGTTAACTCTTACTTTATTGTCCCTACTTTCTCCTTATATAGTTATAAGCATAATTTTGTTTGAATCACTGGGCAGTGTTTTCATTATTAAGGTTATGTATTCACAGTTGAGTTAGGTAGTATTTTATCATCACGTTTTCCTACATTTTCTTTTTCCTAGAATTAACAATTGCCTTGTTTTAAAAATACTGCTTGGTTTCCTTCGTACCTATGACTGTATTTTCCTAATTATTACAACAGATTGATTAGAAACATAGCAGTAATTTTTGCAAAGCCTCATACACATCACTGGTCGCTAGCTTGATTTAATAAAAAAGACTTTAATTAGAAAGTTTTTCATGGTGAACATGGTTAAAAACACTAAAATGAAACCTTTTTTTTGAGACAGAGCCTCAAGCTGTCCCCCTGGGTAGAGTGCCGTGGCTTCACAGCTCACAGCAACCTCCAACTCCTGGGCTCAAGCGAGTCTCCTGCCTTTGCCTCCCAAGTAGCTGGGACCACAGGTGCCCACCACAACGCCTGGCTATTTTTTGGTTGCAGCCGTCATTGTTGTTTGGCAGATCCGGGCTGCATTCGAACCCGCCACCTTAGGTGTATGTGGCTGGCGCCTTAACCATGAAATGAAACCTTGAATGCAGAGTTTGTGTCTTTGGGGAGACCCACATGAGGGGGCTTCCTGGGCTTAGACTACTTTGGACTCAGGGTGATTGTATCCTGAGACAGGGACTTCATGGTCTGAAATTAGTAATGTGCCACATGTACATATCAGTACAGTGGGCCTAGTTCTTTATGTTGACCACTCCGTATGTTGACGAGTTTGTTATAGCCCATGGATAATCCACTTACAAAGATTGTACTGTATTTCTAAACTCTGAAGTCAGTTTCTACTTTTGATAATTTGGACCTTTTGAGGCTACCTACAGTATTAGCTGTGAATAGTATTTCAGTTTTTTGAGAAAGATTAAAGATTCTAAATCTGATAGTAATGAGCTATACACGTCTTTTTTTTTAAATTATTTTTTATTAAATAACAACTTTGTACATTGATGCATTTATGGAGTTCAGGGTACTGCTTCGATATACAATATGAAGTGTTTACATTGAACTAAGTAACATATCCATCACAATTATACTCGTGCTTTTTTTTTGGGGCCAGGGGCTGGGTTTGAACCCGCCACCTCCAGCATATGGAGCCGGCGCCCTACTCCTTTGAGCCACAGGCACTGCCCTATACTCATTTCTTAATAGTTTTGAAGTGTACCATTGTATCATGCACATTAGGTGAGGTCCCCCTAAATACCTTCCCTCTTCCCATATCCTTCTTCCCCTCCCCTCTCTTCTTTCCTTCTACTTTCTGGACTATAGTTATGTTTTACAATTTGTATGAGTGCGTAGGTGGTGTATACATCTTGAGTCACGTTAAAGTCTGCAGTATTAAACAAGGCAAGATTAAATACCTTAATAGATATTAAATTAATATTAAGATTTTTTTTAAAAATTAAGGAACATACAAGTAAAGCCAAAATGTCCTGCATGATGGGATTTAGAATGACAGTGGAAGTCCTCAGTATTTTTGAAATGAAAAGGCAGTATTTTCTGTGTACTTTTTATAGGCTGATTAAGTAAGCTCATGGGTCTAGAGGGGCCTCAAGTGTGTCTTCTGAGGTCTCCCTCCATGCACTTGAATAATTAATCTGGAATTGCAATTGGTGTTTAAATCCCATTTTCTAACTAGTCTTGTGACTTTTGGCAAGTACCTAACCTCATAGGCCTAAGTTTCTTATTTTGTAAAAGGAAAAGTTTGGTTTAAGTAAACTTTGGTGATTAAAAGGAAATTTTTCCTTTATTTTAGTATCTGTATGCGGTGGAGATATATCGATAGCATACTGCAACCATTTAATATTATTTTTCTCCCTTTGCTTAACCAAAGTCTTATTGCTATTTAAGATAATTTCTATTGTATGGCCCCTTTGTGGCAATGAAGCAGCTGTTACTGTCTTCTTTATAACTTTGTATAAACTTGAAAATAGCTGTTGTCACTCTGGTTTTCCACTTTTCACCCCAGTACCCTTAGATGCCCTTTTTTCTCTCAAGAGCTATTTTAATGCCCTTCATCACTTCTCTTGTAGTCTCTCTGTTGAAACACAAAGCATTCTCATGCATAGATTTTCTCACCCTGCCCTCTTCCAGGACACCACCATCTGTGGGCTTGATACATTTTCATATAGTGAAAAAAATAAAAAAAGAAGTCCCTTATCCAATATTAAATGTATCAGTTTTCTTCCCTAGAGACAACCACAATTAGCACTTTCTAGACTTAAGTCTGTAGAATAAATATATTCACAGCCCCCTCTTTGTTTTTTAAACATGAAAAGTAGGATAACCTACATGCTATCCTGCACATTGTTCTCTCACCTGGTTTAGTTACAGGTCTTTCCACATCAGTACATTGCCCACCTGCATACAGTAGAGGGCGCCATTTGCCCAGAATAGAGTGCTGAACTTAAAGTTCGATAATGCTGCCCACAAACCCTGCCTGTGGGTGGTGCCTGTGGCTCAGTGGGTAGGGCTCTGGCCCCATATACCGATGGTGGTGGGTTCAAACCTGGCCCTGGCCAGCTAAAACAATAGTGGCAACTGCAACAAAAAATAGCTGGGCATTGTGGCGGGTACCTGTAGTCCCAGCTACTTGGGAGGCTGAGGCAAGAGAATCGCTTGGGCCCAAGAGTTGGATGTTGCTGTGAGCTGTGACGCCATGGCACTCTGTCGAGGGTGACAGAGTGAGACTCTGTCTCAAAAAAGAAAGAAAGAAAGAAAGAAACCCTGTGTGGATGGGTCTATTTCTTTAGACAGCTGTATCTGGTGTGTGGATGAACTGTAACTACTCTAACTAGGATGGGCATTTAGGTTGTTATTGGTCACAAATTTTGATTTTTTTAAAGAAGATTGTTTTCAAAATCTTTTTCTAAAAGTGGCATTTATTGGAATGCCAAAATCTTTTTCTAAAAAGTGGTATTTTATTGGAAATGGTCATTTGGCGCTGGCTGTGTTTCTCGATAGCCAGGAAGCGTCTAACTCAGACTTTGATTCCTTTTGCCCACAGGCTCATCATTGGGAACTGGAGACAACCGGCAGTACACCAGCTTGAGCCATGCGCTGCAGACACAATGCTGTATTTCTTCTCCCACTAGCTGGATGGGCCAGCAGTATAGACCATATAGTTTCTTCACTAAATGTATGTAGAATGGCCACAATGAACATTTTAATGATTAGTTTATAATGTACTATTAAAATAAAAATGTTCCTTAATGTACCTCCTAGAATTATCTCACGTGGTACCAGTTGTATTTATACTTTGGGAAGCACTAGTTTACTTTAATCTCCTCATTTAGGACACCTAGGCCTACAGGATATTGATTCATGGCCTGGATCCACTGTTGATACAGGTTTATACCAAGAGTGCACTCACAATCTATTTTCAGTTGTGTCTTAGTGGAGGAGCTAGAACATCTAGTCAGGAAAAGTTATTTTAAAGAGTCATTGTTTATTAATGCTACTCTTATTTGTGGTAGTGTTTGGAAGAGTTTAAACTAAACTAAATTAGCTCATTAGGTAGTAAGTGGAGATTGAATTCACAACTCAGCATTAGGCAGATTAAAAAATTAGGATTATAAATGCAATTAATGACTAGTTTAGAATATTAAGTCAATATAGAAAACTCAAAGAAGAGAAAATCACCTGCATTCCTACTACTTTGAAAAACTGGGTTTGCTGACTTTTTCAATGCAGTAGTATATTTGCGTATTTCCCATAGGCTTCTCCAGTGCAATGTTATGAGCATAGAGTATTTTTTTGTATGTAGACCAGGCATCCTCAAACTACGCCCCACAGGCCACATGCAGCCTGCCTAGGACATTTATCCAGCCAGCCAGGTGTTTTGGACGCTGCTGCCTGTCCTGTTTAGCAGCCGACTTGTCCTGGGGCGTGGAGTCCAGCCCTCCAACGGTCTGAGGGACAGTGAACTGGCCCCCTGTTTAAAAATGTTTGAGGACCCCTGATATAGACAGATCACTTTAATTTAGAGTAACTAGGTCATTTGTGTAGCAACACAGAAGAGAGGATCAGGTGGTGGGGGATTAAGTAACATAGGGTTTGGTGTACCTGCAGATTTACATGGAGAGAAAAGAGAAGGGATAAAACTGGGGCCTTTAGTCTCTTCTGTTAGTGCCCATAGCCCCAGTTTTTTCTAAGAGGTTTTTGTTTTTTAATTTCAGAACCAAGAGGAAAATTTATTCATAGATGTTTTACATTACCAATCTGTTCAGCTACAGTATTACTGAATTTTTGCCTTCAACTGAGCTTTTTTCGTTACTAGAGAATATTTTTGTTCTTCCGTTGTCAAATCATTTTCCTTTAATTGTTGCACGATGTTTTCTGTGGGTTTACAAAGATCCTTACTGTCCTGAAAGACCAGGAGTGCCTTCTCACACTCAGTCAGCAGAGCTGGTTTGGGAGCTTCCTGGCTCAGTTTGCAGAGTGGTAGTGCACAGGCCCCATCAGTGCGGTGCTGGTCTTGTGTGCCCACTAAGCGGTACCCCTCTTCACAGTAATAAGTAACGGTAGATTTTCTAAGAGTTTTATATTCCAAAAAAATAGAAAATATATTCTAGTAGGGAGTATATTAAATTTACAGGACTTGGGAATTTGTTTAATAGTCCTTTCCCTATTCTAAAAAGCCTTTTCTCTAATTCTTATTATTGTAGAGGTGCCCCTGACCCTCGGAGACCCTTGTCTTCCTGGTTATCCCACTCCTACTTCTGACCCTCTTGTTAGCCTATGTTCTTCCTCAAGTATATGATGCCCTTGTGAGTTTGTTCATATTGAGATTAGCTCCAACGTGTGCTGAACTCAATTGAAAACTAGAGGCTCGGCTCCTATAGCTCAACCGGCTAAGGCGCCAGCCATGTACACCTAAGGTGGCGGGTTCGAATCCCCAGCTCGGACCCGCCAAACAACAATGATGGCTGCAACCAAAAAATAGCCGGGCGTTGTGGCGGGCGCCTGTGGTCCCAGCTACTTGGGAGGCTGAGGCAGGAGACTCGCTTGAGCCCAGGAGTTGGAGGTTGCTGTGAGCTGTAATGCCACGGCACTCTACCCAGGGGGACAGCTTGAGGCTCTGTCTCAAAAAAAAAAAAAAAAAAAAAGAAAACTAGAATAGGGCTGGGTTTTGCTGTTTCAATAGAAAATAGTCTTTGATTTTATAAATCATCAAGAAATAAAAAGTCAAAAATTTTCAAAACTCATTAAGATTTCCTAAGAATATTTAACATTGTACTTACAAACTTATCCCTCTGCTGTAGAGGGCCCACCAATTAAATCCCTTTGATTCAGATTAGCAAGCAGTGTTCCTTAGTATGAACAAGAGAGCAGTAATTCAGTATATCAAATTGGACACTATTGTGGATTTTATGTGTATGTATATGTGCATATATTTAAAACATGAATCTGTTTTTTTTAAACTACGATAGTCAACAGGTATTTATATTAGCATACTTATGCTTTTCCAGAAATGGTGAGAAAGAATTGAAATAGTATATCATTCTAACTGGCCTTTTTTGGTTAGTTAGAATCTTAGACCTGATGTAAAAATAGTAAAATCTCTGTTAAAAGGACTTAATTCAACCTGCAGCCATTCACAAATCATGTTTATGAAACATTTAATAATATGGGAAATTAAAAAAAAAAGGAATATGGGAAATGGTTCACAATGTAATATTAAGCAAAAAGACAGAAGACAAAATTGTACAGTTGTATAATTTCAGTCTTGTTTAATACAAACATATATTCACGTATGCATGCATGTATAAAGGAAAAGGCAGAGTATACATTCCGATTGACAGTGGTAGTGGGATTATAATTATATTCTATTTCCCAGATTTTTAAAAATAACTGATTTATAATCTGAAAAATGATGAAAACATTTAAAATTGCATATTGGCATTCAGAAGTTGACTGATTTGCTATCTTTTTCAAATATATTTAGGAATTTTATTTTCCTCTTATAATATGTAAAAAAAAGAGCTAAACTCTTAATCATTCTTTCACATTTTTGTCTTAATGTCAAGTTCTTTTTAAAATGAGTCCCTTTTAGTCTTAATGAGTTATTTACTGTGATTCTAAGTGAAGGAAACTGTAATTGATTGACCTCTTAGTATGCCTCTTTTACCAGTGAACTTTTAAGTTTTCAGTGGCATTTATAGGTACCAGTGCAGTTATCAGGCAGTCAGATCTTTAATGAGAGGTATTTTGAGGTTGGTACTTTTATTTTGAAACTGTGGTCCTTTTAAGCAAGTTAGTGTTGGCCTAAAATTTGAACTTATTAATAATTTTTGTTCTCATCCAGGCTGTTCAAAGCAGCATGTGATATGGAATCTTATTTTCCTGAGCTTCACTGGTAAAGAACAGCTGAAATATATATGTGTGTTTTGAAAAATTGGATACGATCCAGATATAAAGCATTTAAAAATATTATAAATCTAAACATTTTCCCTCTTCATTTTATCTACCTGGAGGGTCAAGGTAAAGTCTTTTAGGGTTCATAAGAGGAGAGTGAAGATACTCATATTTGTTTTCTAGAATGTTTAGTATTTCCGGCACGTAGGTATATATGTATCTTAGATTTTTGACTAGTATTGTATTTGTGTGGCTCTGATTCTTTATTAAATAAATTTATAGTGGAATAATTGATTTTATAACCATAGATTCTGTTCCAAATTTATGGGTTCGGGTTGAAATGTGGATTCTTGTTTGGACTAAGAAACCCATATTAGGAAGGATAGTTGGTTATCTTACTGGTTATAATGGAGCAAGAGGTCAGGGAAGAGACCTATGTAGTAGTTAATAAATGTCGGGGAAGAAAATACACTGGTCAATAACTGGGACTCAAATGTTGGCTTTCTTTTGTGGGAGAAAGCAGTAGAATTGCTTTCTTTTCGGCTTTCTACACGTGGCCATTTGACACAAAGAATGATTTAATTTTGCTTCCATTACCTTAGTGATGAGTGTAAAACTGGCTTCTTCTGGAGTCTCACTTTTTATCCAGTAGGAGACCATAAATCATTGCTTGAAAACTACAGAATTAAGAAATAATCCTTTTTCATTACAGTGACAGCAGATGAGCTATGGAGAGGTGCTTTAGCAGAGACTGGTGCTGGAGCAAGAAAAGGAAGAGGCAAAAGAACTAAGAAAAAGAAGAGAAAGGATTTGAACAGGGGTCAGATCATTGGCGAAGGTAAACTTGGTTATTAAAACAGCTAAAATACTTTTTAAGTTCCCCCTCCTAGATTTTATAGGTATTTTATAAACTAGAAGGATCAAAACATTTCTTCTGCAGGGTAGTAGGATTTTTGGTTTTAGAATTCAACCAGATAACTTACTCGTTGCTCAAAAATTCTAGGGGAGGAAAATCCCATAGAGAAGGATTCGTTCATTTAGTTATTCATTCAATAAGCCCTCAGTATCCTTGTGTGGCATCTCTTGTAACCGTCACTCAAAAAGCTTCCAATTCAGTGATAGAAGGTAGAATAAATGGAGAGTTGGCAATTTTCTCTGCAAATGGAAGAAAGTAAATATTCTCTTTTTTTTTTTAAGAGACAGAGTCTCTCATTCTATCACCCTCAGTAGAGTGCTATCATATCACAGCTCACAGCAACCTCCAACTCCTGGGCTTAGGCAATTCTCCTGTCTCAGCCTCCTGAGTAGCTGGGACCACAGGTGCCTGCCACAATGCCCAGCTATTTTTTTGTTGCAGTTTGGCTGGGGCTGGGTTCGAACTCACCACCCTCAGTGTATGGGGCCAGCGCCCTACCCACAGAGTCACAGGCACCGCCCAATAGTAAATATTTTCAGCTTTGCAAATTATGTGGTCTGTTTTGTAGCTCCTCAGCTCTAATGTTGTAACACAGAGATAGCCATAGGCAGTACACAATTGAATGGGCATAATTGTGTTCCAACAAAACTTTATTTACAAAAACATTGGCAGGCTAGATTTGGCTGTGGACCTTCTTTTGCTGACCCCTAGGAGCATGATTGTTTACGCTCCTACTTTTTGAAGTGTAAAAATAGTGCAGTGTTCTTAAATCAGCCTCGTTTGTGCTGTGGTTGTGACAGATCATCTTTGATAATAATAGCCTTTCAGGAATAAAGAAAACACCTTGCACTGCACTCCCAGCATCCCATGCCTACTTGCATGTTCTTCTTTATGACGTACCTTGTATCTCACTTAATGTTTTTTAACATTTATTTTTTAAAAATAATCATGTATTTATACTTTCTCAGTAAAAAAGAAAAAAAAAGAAAAAGGATTTTAGAGAAACTAAAGCCCCTCTTGATGTCCCTTTTGTCTTTCCCAGTCCCACAGTCTGCTGAGAAAATTACCAGTCTCATTTTGGTGTGTTCCCTTCAGTATTTTTAATAAATGCCCTAAAAGACATGTATATTTTCTTCTTTTTAAAAGTAATTAATTATATCACATGGTACATCCTGTCTTACACTTTACTTTTTCACTTAATACTAGGTTTTGGGACTCATTCCATATTAGAACCTAGAGGGCTACCTCATTCTTTGAATTTAGTGCAGAATGTTTTGTACGTTGGATGTGCCATGGTTCATTTAACCATTCCACTATTGCTGAACATTTGGATTACTTGTGTTTTTTGCCTTTGTTACAAATAACCTTTGCATGGACATCCTTGTCCAAGCACACACATCTGCTTTGTACCTGCATGTAAGTGTTTGTAGGTCATACCGGAAAGTGGAATTAGTAGCTGTCAGAGTAGATAGGTACATTGAAAATTTTGGTAGCGGCAGGTGACCTGCAAAGTGATTGTATTAGCTGAAGTTTCCACTAACAGGGTGTCATTATATGTACATATGGTGCCTAGCATTTTAACACTTGGAGAATGAAACTTTAAAAAAATTCTTGTTTATTTTGTTAAACCTTCAGGGCATTATGGTTTCCTGTGGCCTGGTCTGAATGCCCCTCTTATGAAAAATGGAGCAATGCAGAACATTGCCCAAAGAAGCAAGGAAGAGCAGGAGAAAATAGAGACTGAGATGATCCAGCAGAGAGAAGAGTGGGACCGCAAGAGGAAGATGAAGGTTAAACGAGAGCGAGGATGGAGCGGAAATTCGTGGGGCGGCGTCAGTCTTGGTCCCCCTGACCCTGGTCCCAAAGGAGGTAGTAGAGTTCTAGTTTTGCTTGCCTTTGTGACAAAGAGAATACTTGTATTTTGGAATTTCCTTCAAATGATATTTGTCTGTTTAGACTTCTTTTCCCACAGAAGGATTTGAGCATCACATTGTTATCCCAACTATATTTTATGGACTCCTAGAGGCCCATAACCAACAAGTATTCCATCAGGATGGAAAGCACTGGGTTCCTACTGTCTTTATTATGTGGCTTCTCAAAATCTTTTTTTTTTTTTTGAGACAGTATCTTACTTTGTCACCTGGCGAGTGCTATAGTATCATCATATCACACAGCAACTTTAGACTCTTAGGCTCAAGCGATCCTCTTGCTTCTCAAATAGCTGGGATTACAACACCCGCCATGATGACCGGCTAGTTTTTCTATTCCTTTTTGGTGGAGACGGGGTCTTGCTCTTGCTCAGGCTGATCTCAAACTCCTGATCTCAAGCGATCCGCTCACCTCAGCCTCCCAGAGTACTAGGTTTGAGGTGTGAGCTACTGCACTTGACCTCAAATCCTTAAATGTGTGTGATGTGCATTATGTATCTATAGGAGCTATTTGTGAGATGGAATGTCTCCCAATTGGCTGTCGGGGTACCTACGGAGTAGCATGGCTTAGGAATACTGTTTCAGTAATAGAAGTCAACAAACTAAATAGTTGTCATTAAGCCTCATAAAAGCACATATGAAACAAAAATTGATAATACTTAGGCCAAATTAGAAAACAAAAATTTTCTCCTCTATTTAATATGTAAAGAAAGTAAAAATCATCTGAAAAACTTATTTTTGCCAATGAATGGGAGAAAAGGAAATTAGGCAAAAGTTTGACTGCTTTCTTTAGAATTTTGATTCAGTAATTCGGGGAAAGATTGAGATGGAGAGATTCAGGCAAACATTCTTAGAGTTGAGCAAAATGCTTTAGTTAAGGGATAAAGGTATGGGATGGAGAGAACAAAATTCATGAACAAAATTTAAGTCACAAACAAGGGCTCCAGATTCTAGGATAAATGGGCCAGTTTCTTTAACAGAAGGAGGAGCAAGGTACAGATTCAGGTGTACCTGTATTGTTGACAGTGGAAAGGTGAGGGTGTTACATGGTGTCTGGTGGCTGCAGTTCATCTGTAAGGAAGAGATGGAGTCATCTTCTGAAAATGAGATGAGGGCATTGATGAGCAGGACCAGCAGAATATTTCTTTATGAAATGGTAGCAAATCTGGAATTGGCTTTAAAATTATCCAATGGGGGCTTGGCGCCTATAGCTCAACTGGCTAAGGCGCCAGCCACGTACACCTAAGGTGGTGGGTTCGAATCCCCAGCCCGGACCCGCCAAACAACAATGACGGCTGCAACCAAAAAATAGCCGGGCGTTGTGGCGGGCGCCTGTGGTCCCAGCTACTTGGGAGGTGGAGGCAGGAGACTCGCTTGAGCCCAGGAGTTGGAGGTTGCTGTGAGCTGTAATGCCACGGCACTCTGCCCAGGGGGACAGCTTGAGGCTCTGTCTCAAAAAAAAAAAAAAAATTATCCAATGGGGTGGGAGTTGGGGCAGATTTTAGAGGAAAGAAGATTGGCTATGAGATGATGCATATATTTATTAAAGCTGATTAATGAGTACTTAAACACTTTTCATTCTGCTGTTTAATTTTTGTATGATTGAAATTTTTTATAGTTGTGAAAAAATAAAGTAACATAGAGACTACTTGCATTGGTGGCTGCTTAGTGAGCAGAAAGAGACCTAACTAAAAGAGCATAAAAGTGTACAGGCTGAATGGAGGATTTTATTGAAGTGGAAACCATGAATTTTTAGTGTATGTACTTCGCTTGGGGCTTCTCTCCAGCAACACCAAGCAGGCCAGGTGTGGTTATGTGGATATGCATAGATTCAAGCCAAGATAGTGTGGTAGAGAGGGAAAAAGGTGAGGAAGTTGGGGAGTCTGCACCTGACCTCCAAGTCTTAAGTGTGCGTGTTTCCACAAATCTAATAGAAATGATGGACTGTGGTGCCTTGGCAGAGTGAGAGAGGCCATGAAGACTGGTGAGGGCCAGAAAGGAAAGTAGTGCTAGAGGTGCTGAGGAGCGAGTAAGTGAGGGAGCTTGAGGAGGATGTGTAATCGGGGAGATAAGTGACTGAGTTTCTGAGTCAGTGGTGGAATAGTCTCTAGTAATGAGTAGACTAGCGCCTTCAGAATGGTACCAAAAGATAATGAAGTTTTTTCTCACTTAAAAGTCTGTGGTGGTGCTTGTGTTGAAGCATGTTTTCATGTGTTGATGGTATAGACACATTTAATCTGATGGTTTTTTCTTTTCTCCCTATAGAAACATACGAGGATTTTGATACCAGGATACTTGAGGTAGGCGTGTTGAATTAAATACCTAGTTAAGCCTTTAGATAGGTGGGTGGGTGGAGCAGAGATAGGGCAAGAGGAACTGTGAGGAAAAGCCTTTGATGTGTGATGGTTCTGTGACAGAACCATCTGATGTGTGACAGAGCTGATTGGAGTAAGGAATAATGCAGCTTTAATTTCAGTTACTTGTTAACTTGGTTCTCCTGATTGCTGCATTTAGGGGAGGCTGCCAGATTGAGGTCTTATGACAAGGTAACTTTGATAGTATTGTTAATTACAGAATTTGGGTATTAGGTTTAAATTTCCTCCTTACTAAAGCTAAGTAGCATTAGCAATCTATTGTTAGATTATAAATCAGTATCTACCACTCAATTCAGGGAGCTGAGATTAGGAGGAGCCATGGGGAAGCTTATAGCTGTGGTGAATGTCCTATTCTTGATGGAGAATGGGCTCTGGGCTGCTTGTAGGCCCTTGAAACTGAAGCCCATATCAAGTAAACTGCAATCACTTTTCAGAGCACTGTCTAGAATAGTCAACTTGCCTTTGAGCTGATATTGCATACTTAACCCATGTTAAACACCACGTGGAATAATTTATTGAGTTTGTGTGTGAACCCCTCTGAATATATATATTGTTTCTTCAATATAGACTGCATTATAGAATTTAAAATATGTTTATAAGTAATGTCTTTGGTATCCCATCTTGCAGCTTTTGAAATTTAATCCCTTTGGAGAATTTTTATAATATATGGGTGATTTTCTGTAAGATTCTTTTTAACCTCATTTTATGGGAAAGGGGCCACTATGAATCAGAGAGCCTGCTATGAGAAACAGTTTAGTTAACAGTCCCTAGTTTCCAGCCTTTTAAATATGTACCCCCCCTCCCAAAAATACAGATTTTCTTATAGTTCAGAATAAGTAGGTATTTCCAGAATTTTCTATTCTCAATTGAACCTAATCCTTAACATAGTGATTCAGCCCTGTGCTAATTATTTCTGTGCATTTCATAATTTCTTTCTTTTTTTTTTTTTGAGACAGAATCTCATTTTGTCACCCTTGGTAGAGTGCCGTGGTGTCATAGCTCATAGCAACCTCAAAGTCTTGGGCTCAAGGGATCCTCTTGCCTAAGTTTTTCTATTTTTAGTAGAGACAGAATCTTGCTATTGTTCAGGCTGGTCTCAAACTCCTGAGCTCAGGCAGTTTACCCTTCTCGGCCTCCCAAAGTGCTAGGATTACAGGCATGAGCCACCACGCCCAGCACATTTTATAATTTCTAAGGTGCACATTTTTTCCTATTTTAACATCTCTTTTTTTCTTTCTCGTGGTACATTCATTAAGGTAGAGTATATTGTGGGTGGTTGGATGAGGCAGCTCCCCCTTATCATCCCAGCACTTTGGGAAGCTTTGGCAGGAATATTGCTTGAGGCCAGGGGTTTTGAGACCAGCCTAGGCAACAGGAAATAGTTAGACCTGTCTCCACAAACATTAATAAAATAATTAGCCAGGTATGGTGGCATGTGCCTGTAGTCTCAACTACTCGGGAGACTAAAGTGGGAGGATCACTTAAGCCCAAGAATTTGAGGTCAGTGAACTATGATTGGGTCACTGCACTCTAACCTGAGCAATAGAGCTAGACCCTGTCTCTAAAAAACAAAAACAAACAAACAAAAAAAGATAGGGTATATTGAGTTGTATAGTTTCAGATTCCATTAAAGAACCTTCTAATAACAATGTGAACAAGAAGAAAAAATTTATTTCCATTGTATCCCTGAAGAAGTAGCCCAGAGGGAGGTTTCTTTTGGAGAAAGTTTGTTGTTTGTTTGTGCGCATGGCACTGGAGGATAATGTGACTTTTTCACCACATATGCATGTGTAAGGAAGGCAGGTTCCCTACTTCAGAATTT